GCTACTCCCGTGCTTTCACTTTCCCAAAGCCTGTTTGCTCCCCTCCTGCGGTTCTTTCCAGGAATCTGGCCTGTGCTGAGGTGACTGAAGTCACTCTCAGCCAGCCAGGCGGGGCCTCCGCTGGACTGTTCGGTGGGAGCCTCAGGCCACAGGCCCTCCGCCCCACGGCGGACACTTGACCAGCACCACGCAGAGGCACCTGGCTTGCTCTCTTGCATGCTCGCTGTTTCATTACCCCGCACTTCACCCGAATGCTTCTGGAGCCCGCTGCCCCCGAGAGCAGAGCTCAGGGGAGCACCCCGGCGCTCCTTCTTGGGCCTGCGGCTGGTGCTGTGGGACCCAGCCAGGCCCACCAGGCAGCCCGGCACTGACGGCCTGCCGTAGCCACTGCCCAAGGAATCCCCTCCCTCTGCTAGGCTCGCTCCGTCAGAGTGGGGCAGGCTCCTTGGAGGGGGCCGTGTGCCGTGCGCCCAGATGGTGCCGCTAGGACCGAACTCTTGGACACGGAAGCCGAGCTGCCTCAGCTCTGCGGGAGGGAGATGAGGAGACGGGCTACGGGATTCTACTTCTTGTCCTGAGCCTTCAGCTTAATTTAATTAATAGCTAACGTTGCTTCATCTCATTTGCACAGGGACATTTGTGCTTCAGGAGAACAGCATCAGTTGCTGGAAAGCAGCAGAAATCAGACAAATTGAGATCTGTGAACTTTTCATGAAGTTTTCATTGTGATTTTTATCAACCAAATTTTTAAGCACACCCTTTATCAAAATGTTCTCTTCATTCTGAAGTCTCTTTCATGTGCTAATGGCGACTTTAAAAAAATCTTCCCATTTGACTTGGTCGGACCTTTACAGACCTCACGCAACTAATGGTCCCTCGCATTCACTGGGAACAATTGGGAGAGAGGTCTGGGGGCTGACACACAGTATGATTAATAGACAATGTTGATTTAATTTCCTTGAGCAGGAGTTTCCCCTAAGCCGTCTTCAAAGCCTCTGCTTTTCAAATCAGTACTGAAAAGGATGGGACTTATCACTGGGCAACATAGTTTAATTCCCAATTTATTGGGCTGCGCTACTAAAATACCCAGAAATAAGCCCTTTTTCTGTTTTCAAAAATCAAGGAGCACAACTCCAAAGGGCCGACTGATCTACAGTGACAATGCAAAAAAGGAGAAAAGACAACAAATTTATTTCTCTCCTCACAGAGAGACATAAAACAGAGTGGAAGAATTCAAGAAACAAAGCACAGATGGGAAAACAGTTACTACTTAGTGAGTCCTTTTCAAGATAAAACCCCAGTTTGCAGGTGATCATTTTAGCAACCAATTTTCCAGTGCAAGGCTGCACACATTTCCCCAGAATTAGGTTCTGCTGAATGCACTGCAAGCTGCTCCCTACCAAGGGGCGCGCGCAAACCCCGGGCGCAAAATGCTCCGCTTCAGAACCGCCTGGGGCACAGCGCCTCCTCCAAGCAGCACCTCCGCATGCAGCAGGCCTCGTGGTGGGCTTAGGTTTCCTTCCAGCCATGCAGTCAAGGGCCCAAGCCCACCCATCAGCTGGCCACAATTTCCACACCAACAGATCATAAGCACACGCCTTGGCCCATTTTGCTGCTGGAGACATCCACATGAGCCCAGGCTCCTCTCCTGCAAACTGCAGCCCAACGCCAACTATTTCACCACGAAGGGAAGGCTGAGTGCCATCAACACCTCTTCTGCTTTGCCCTGCATTCTCCTGGAATGGGCCCACTCCGCTGAAAAGCTAGCGCATTCCAGGCAACGGGATCCTTCGACCTGAGCCGCGCTGTTACCTGAGAAGGTACGTTCAGCACAAGTCGGCCACCCCCGGATCAGCCACGCTTGTGGGCCAGGCATTCCTCCCTCTCCATGCTCCATATGCACCAGTTTGGGGCTGCAGCTACCACCCTGCCCGGTGTCTGGATCCTGTCCCTTGTCAACCTCAAATCCTGCCACAACCTCTCTCTTGCCGAGTCTTGTGCTCCTCAGTCCACAAAGACTGAGTGGACAGACATGCTCTGGAGCATCTTGGCCGAGCACCGAAGAAAAGCATCAGCACCCGAAATCAGCCTTGCTCTTTTCTGACACACCTCACAATTTCTCGCAACAGATTTTGGGCAAGTTCCACTCTCAAAAGGAAGATGGCACATCGAAGCAAGTATTTATTTGGCGGTTTGGAAGGCCCATCCAGGTGGCTGCACCCCTCTTTCAATCAACTGCTACCTACAATCCACCTGGAAGTTCTGCCCTGCAAGCGAGGAGCAGGATCGGAGCCATTTGGGAGCCCAGGCAACACTTTGCCCCGCTGCCCCTCCGTGGGTGAGGGAATGCCGCTGGGGTGCATCTTGGGGGAAGCAGCAAAAGCCTCTTCTGCTCCCCACCCTCCAGAAGCAGCGAAGGAGAGGAGCCAGGCAGTGGCAATCCCTTGTCCTGTGGGCCAAATCTACTTCTGGCCTGGAATGCCAAGAATTCGTCCCCAGACAAGCGGTTTACAAATGGGAAGCAGGGCATGCGGGGGGCCAGGAGAGAACACTGCGCCAGCTTTGCTGTGGAGGGAGCACCTGGCCCGCCTACTCATGCCCTTCTCCAGAGCTTGGCGGATGCACCAGGCAGAGTGTCCTGGGGGACACGCCCCGGAAAGCAGCCAGGCAGGTGTTTGAGGCGCAACCCTGCACCACTTCAGGCAGGGAGAGGGCCTGCGACTCCCAGCATGCCCCAGCCAGGTGCCCAGATGGCTCTCTAAGCTGACTATGTAAATCCCTGCGTACCCGCATCATGCTCTCCGGAGAGGCCGATGCCCTGAACTTCAAATAATGCGATGCATGCTGGACTGCAAGACAGAAGGACGTTTACCATCATGACAAGTACAATATACCATTATGGGATGCCGGGCTCTCCTCCCCATTGCAGCAAAGAGACGCGCTCAGTGCGATGCAGCAATCCCCCAAAGCCCTGCCACTGCTGCTTGCAGCAGCTAAGCGCTTGTGAGCCATGGACAACGGAGACCGCCTGACACGGACACGGCACAGCAACCAGGAGGCTGGGCAAAGGGGAACCAGCCCGTGCGCTGGCAGTGCCCTTCCTTGGGCGATGCCCAAAGGAGCCTGTGCAGAAACCCAAGCCTGAGTGGTGGGACCCTCACCACACCAGGGGACCCCAAGAGTGGGGGCAGCAGAAGAGCAGGAGGCTGCCGGGCTCTTCCGGTCCCTGCGGTCCCACGCACGGGCATGCAGCAGCCTGGAGGAGGCCTCAGGCCTAGATCACTCTGCGCTGCAGGAGGACCCCAGCCTCAGCCCCGCCCTCACCTCCCTCGGAGGCCTCATACACAGCTGCTTGCTCCCAAGGGGAAGCAGGGCCTGGTGGACTGCGGCCCCCCGTCCTTTCCTGCAGCACGGCCAGAGCAGGAGGCCTGGTGGTGCTGTCAGCCGCTGCATCGGCCGCCGGAGGCTCCGGAGCCCTTGGTTCAGGCAGCACGAGCCGGTGGCCCTGCCAACGGGCCCCTGGGAACCCTGCCGGAGCAGGCAACTAGGTGGCGGCAACTCCCCCTTTCCTCACCACTGGCTGCTCTGGCCAGGGACGATGGGCGTTCCAGGCCAAAACTTCCCCAGGGTGGACAAACTGACCAGCCCTGGTCTACACGCGTGGTGTATCCTTGCCAACTGAAGGCAACAAACCAGGAATCTGCCGCGTCTGCCGCAAAAGACTTTCTGAGGTGCCAAGAGGTTCCCTTTCTGTATTTGCTGAAGCCCAACATGGCTGCCCCTCTGCAAGTTTCCTTATTTACCCAATTTATCATTGCCCAGTAAAAAAAGTTATCTGGCCAACGCACAAGCTAAAAAGAAATTAAAATCATAATTACAATAGGAGAAAATAAGAAATAAGACGGTAAGATCAAAATTAGTCAGATCAAATAAATACAACCTTGCAGCGAGAATCCATTGGAATGAAGTTGGAAAAACAAGACTCTCGCAGAGCAAAACAAATGTGCGAAATGCTATGACGTCTAAGCAGAAGCAGCACATTCAGCCAGGTGCCAGGCAGAGCCTCTGGAGAGCGCAGCCCACGACCGAGGGGCCCTGGTGGAGAACGCACGTCCTCCCGCAGCCCTGCTGCGCCTCTCCGCCCAGGCGAACTTGGAGAAAGAGCCGGGAAGCGCAACCTGACAAGGACCTCACCGAATCCTTTGCGGCCCTGTGCGTCTTCCACAGCTCAGGGACAGGCCCCCGTGAAGCCTTGGACGGGCTTCCTCCTCCGAGGGGGAGAGGGGCCCCGGCACCCACGCAAGGCCCCTCCCTCGGGTGGCAACATGGCCACGCAGTCGGCAGCGAAGACCAGCGGCGGTCTGGCCAGGCGAGGCCGAGGCATCAGTGCGCTGAGCTGATCCCTGGCACACAACTGTGGGGGCAACATTTGTCCCTGAAAGGTCGAAGCCCAAGGCTGGCTCCTGAGGGATCCCAGCTTCTGGAACTGCCACCGCTTGCTTTGCAGATGCTCTCTGCCCCGTCCCCACAGCGGTGCTCACGGGCCAGGCCAAAGCGGCGGTGAGAAGGACAAAGCACGGCGGCCAGGGCAACGCGAGCTGCACGGCGTAATCAGACGGAGGATCAATGGCCTCGAGGGAAGGAAGGCCCCACCTCTCCGGAGCCACTGACCCTTTTGTGTCCAAGGGCTCACATCCTGCCACCAGATGCGTCTCTGGCTGGAAAGCCTCACAGATGGTGGACCCAATGGAGAAGGCCTCCCAAGCCTCTCCCAAAACCCCTCTTATAACTATTGGCAAAGGAAAGACACCTGGGCATCCAGGCAAGCCATCTGGAAGGAAGCAAGGCATGGGAGCTTTCCCAGGTATCTAAAGCACAGCTGGCAGACAAGAACCTCAGGAAGAGCTCTGTCTACCGAAGCCTCCTTGCACCCCCCGTTCTGGCTTTCCCCCGCCCTCTGGGAAGGCAGCCGAGCCGAGCGCAGCTGCGTGCAGACTCACCCAAGCCGCCGATGGTGTGCGTCAAGTCGCTGGCCTCCAGCAGGATCGGCCCATTCTCTTGCTGGCCTTCTTCTCTGTAGTGCAGCTTGTAGCCCTGCACAGCGGCCGTGTCCTCCGTGTCTTGCTGCCACCGCACCGTGATGGCCGTGCAGTTGACCGGCTCCAAATGCAGCTCGGGAGACTTGGGTGCTAGGAAAAGAAAGGGCTCGTTGTTCCCACGGGCGACAGAAGCAGCGTTTTTCACCCACGAAAGGCGCTGCCCAGGCCAAGCCAGAGAGATGGTCCCTCCCTTGGGAATGGCCTGTCTGTGCAGCCCGGCCACAGCTCTCCAGGTCTTGGAGAAGGGCTGCTCCAACCCTGCTGCTGCTGGGGCTGGACTGGAGGTGCTGCGCATGAGGAGGGAGTGCTCTTCCCCGAGAGGCAGCCTCCCGCCCCTGCCAATGCCCCGGGCACCGCATGCATCCCAGAATGACGATTTCATTTCCATGCCTCCCAGCTGCAAGAGTTCTTGGATCAACTGAGCCAAAGGTCAATAAGCCAACATTTCCAGACCAGGATGCAGCTTAGATGGGGGGGGGGGATCTGTTGAGTGCAGTGGGGGAGGAATTACAGTGTGGGGCAATGCAGCTCACAACAAGAAGAACCACTCCGACTAAGAGGGACTGCTGGGAAAAGGCATCCTCTGGCGACCTGGTTGATTCTGGTCCGTCAGGAGAGCCCTTTCATGTTTTGTATAGGGTCCTGGGAGCAGCGATTCTGTGGGTCACGGATCTCAGAGAGAGAGAGGGCGAGCGAGCTCCGAGTAGGTCAGCAAACTGCAATTCCCTGTATCTGGGGGTGGAAGGGAGCCGGGGCAGGAAATGGCCGGAGGCCTGCACCGTGGTCAGGATGCCCAAAGCAGCCAGGGGGCTTCGAAGCAGAGCACAAGTGCCAAACCCTGACCGGCAACCTGCTAGGGGTGATGCTGAATTCGGGGCAGGCCAGCTTGACTCGGATGGCATCGAAGTGGCTGCAGCCCCGGCATGCGCAGCACTGGCCTTCTGAGCAAGCGCACTGCAGCCTCAACGCGTCCAAGAAGGCACGGTGGGGGAAAGGGAGGTCGATCCGGACGCGTCGTTCAGCTCGCCGTTGCCTTCCCCACCCGCAGGGTGTGCAGCGGTGCCAGCCCATGTAGTCTTTCATCCGTAACCCTCCTGCTTTTCCCTCCTTGCCTCTCCCACCTTTTCTCCCAGAAAAGTGCGGTTAAGCAGGAAAGAAGGGACCAAGCATTTTGACTGACAGCTGCCCCTCCGGAAGCACCCTCAGTTTAGGCAAAAGCGGCTGTTAATTCGCAACTTTCTGGCCAGATGGCTTTCGAGGCATTTAACCCAATATACATGACGTATTCATTGCAGAATGATTGATTTACATTGTGACTAATTTGGTAAAGCAGTAAACGTTTAAGCAAAAAAGCTGGTGCACCTTTGATACTGGTGGCTTTCGGCGTGCGGTGGGACGTCCACAGAGAGGCCTCCCCCCAGCCAATCCGGGTTGCTGCGGAAATGCGGACTAAATAGACGCTGTCAGCTTTCAGGCCCCTCAGAAGGTGCTCGTACGTCGTGCCCGGGAGCTCCAGGACTTGAACGGTGCTCTCGGTGCTGAGGCGATAGGACAGGCGGAAGGAGACCACCTGCCCTCGTCGGTACTTGGCTGGAATGGGCAGCCACGAGATCAGGATATCTGTGGGGCTTCGGCTTGTCAGACTGATTTCGGGAGCCCTCAGGGGGACTGAGAAGGAAACATTGAGACAGGTGCCCGATTACAAGAGCAGAGAACCCCAAAGCCATTTCTGCTCTGCTCTGCCCACAAAATTCCCTTTATGGGCACAAGAGGATTCCCAGCATCGGGCCGGTTTGGCTGGCAGCCAGCCCCGCTCACTGCAAGTGTGTTGAGGGCTAAGGAGCGCTCGTGCTGCTGCTCAGCAGGGTCTCCTGCTTTTGAGCAGAGGCTCCCTGCAGGGAAGGCCTTCTGACCTATCTGCGAGGGGCACAGCGCTCCTGCTGGTTTCCCTGCACGGCCCCCGCCTACCTCAGCTCAGGACACACGTGCGTGGGCCCAATATGTGCGGATGCTTGAGTGGAAAATGCACATGGCACCTGTCCTGCAGGGACACACCCAGCCCGAGATGGGAAGCAGCCCTGCACGAGCCCCACAGCCTCGGGCATCCGCTCCACTGGGCCACTTCCCAGGTGGCAGCCCCTGCGCCCCCGGGGAAGAGCCCCTGCAAACTACATGTGAGAACCAACAGGCAGAGTAAGAACAAACAGCTTAAGATAAAACCGCAGCGCAGAGGGAAAACTGCAGACGCAACGCAGCATCAGGAATGAAAGGAAATGTAAAAGGGCGTTGGAGCAGAGGCGGCGGCCTGGGGTTCCCAGGGGAGATCCCTGCCTTACTGGCTGCACGGCGAGTGGGCCCCCTGCCCGCTCCGACGCTGGGCCGAGACCACGAGCGGAGCCACACACCGCCCCCCTGGCTGAGCTGGCTTGCTTGGGGGCAGAGGCCGTGGAATCAGTAGGCGCCAAGCCATTCTGGACCACTTTCCCCAGTCTGGGGCCTGAGCGCAGCTGGCCAGGGGATGCTGGGAGCTGCAGTCCAGCAGAGCTGGCACCTGCCCGGCTGGGGGAGCTGGCTCGGACTGGAAACAAAGACAGTGGCAGCGGCGGTGTGCTGCGGTCACCGAATTCTAGCGGGGAACCTGGCAACAGCAGATGAGCCACGGCCACAGCCGGGATCTAGCGCCCCCGTCTCGGCCCTCTCCAGCATTTAGGCGGCTGAGCGGCATCTGCGGGAGGCTGGGCACCCCGGCAGCAGAGCTGACGCCACGGGCACGCACTGCCTCCCCGCAGGTCGCAAGCTCTGCCTGGGGGGGCACTTACCGTCTTCCAGGGTGTGCTGCGTCACGTGGTCAGACATCTGGCTGGCCCCCATGGGCATGTAGGCCACGATGTAGAACGTGTAGCTGCTGGCCGGCTCCAGGTCATCGATGGTATAGTGCGTCGTGTCGTTGCCAATGACCACCTGGTATTCCTCATTATTGAGACCTAAAGCACACACAGATGTGCAGAAATGGGGGGCTGGCCCTCTCCAGAGCAATGCGTGCGAGGGAAGCGGCCGTTCTCCGGTGAGCTCTCATCTGGGAACAAGCCACGCGTGCATAAATCCCCTTTAAACACGCACAGAGTGGGGAGGAACAGCGGGGGATCCCCGCTGGACCTGCCCCGTCCTCCCTGCCAGAGGGCCTCCGGCCTCTGCCTGAGCATCTGAGGGAAGGGCACTCCATGGCTTCCCAAGGAGCCCCGATGCCCACAGGCACCATCCTGGCGATTCAGGCTGAACCTGCAGCTCAATGTCTTGTCTGAACCCAGCGGAGAGGGATTGTGCAAGGGATAAATAAGCCTTGCCAACCCAAAGCCAGTTTGGGGGTTATGCAGGAGGTGTTTAACCCTTGCAGAACCCACCCCTGCCAGGACCAGATGACACAACAGGCCACAGTAGTGGCTGAAGCGTGAGAAATTCGAGAGTGGTTGAGGGCGCAAGGCTGGGACTCAGGCGATCTGGGTTCTAGTCCCCACTCGGCCATGGAGCGAACTGGGTGTCTTTGGGCCAGTCACAAACTTTCAGCCCAACCTACCTCACAGGGCTGTTGTTGTGGGGATACGAGTAAGCGGAGGAGGAGACTGATATAAACAGCTTGAGTGTGTCATAAGAAAAAGCAGGGTATAAAGATGATAAATAAATAAAATATTGGGAATGGCTTCCGGCATGTGCCACAACCTGCTGCGGTTTACATGAACCTCAGCCGGCTGTCCGGTCTTCTCTGCCGGCTGAGAGAGGGAGATCCACTCCTGGACAGTCGGTGTTGTTAGGACATTTCTCCTACTATTTAGCCGAGATTGGCTTCCCTGTGATTTCTACCGGCTGGTTCTGGCTTGACCTTCGGGAGCAACAGAGGGCTAGTCCTCTCCATCGCCTTTTGCAAGACGGGCCTCCGGATAGTTGAGGGCCATCGTTGGGCCTCCTCGGGGTCTTCCTCTCCAAGCGAAACCTCTGTGCAGGACAGCTGCAGTGCTGAGCACCCTCTTGGTAGCAGCACCACTGAGATCCCTGGGACTCCCACGAAGAGGGGCCGCGACTGGGACCAGGATGCTTCTGCTGCCTGGGGCGGAAGCAGGTTTGCGCTACCAAACTGCGCTCGGCTGCATATTATGGGGTTCGGCTGCTCCAGAGCACAGGCCGGCCCGAGCAGGGTTCTCCAGGGGCAGGTCCCCTCTGAGCCCAAAGGGAGTCACTTTTGCTTGCAACAGGGCTGTGCTTGCTTGGTCTGACCCAGACTCCGGAGTGGACTGGGCCAGCCCTCTGCCCCTTGCCGTGGGGCACTGCCCAGGGGTGCAGAGGCCGGGTGCCCTTTCTCCCCCCTCACCCAGCGAGGAGCCTGCGCCCTGCTCTGCAGCCTGAAGGCCCCCTCCCTCCAGGTGCTGTCCGCTCGGGGCCAGCTGCTCGCTGGCTTTGTGGCAAACAAAATGCAGGAGGCAGCCCACTCCTCCGCTCAAGTGACTCGGCCCCTTCCCCTGCTCCACCGCCTGAATGGCCAGAATTCCACCGCTGTGGTTTTCCCACAGCCCGGCGCTGATGGTGTTTTAATTAGGCGAGATTATGAGCATCACAACACCCCAATTAATGGCCTGTTAATTAGGGCGGCACAGTGCGATTTCTGACCTGCAGCCCAGGAACCCGAGCCTCACACTGCGAGGGCTTGTTCTCGCCTTGAACGGCTGCGAGACCCCATGGGGAGCCCCTCATGAAAGAGCCAGAAGAGGAGAGAGGAGGCGCAGGCCGCCCCCCCCCCCCCCGGCCCCCCTTTGCCCCCTTTTTTAACCCCCAGCAAGGAATAACCACCCAGCCCCCCCCCGCCCGTTCTTCCTTCCTGCCACCACCCTGCGCATCTTCCCTACTTCCAATTTGAATGCCAAATATTCCGCCTGCCTCCGTCTCCACGGACACCTGCTTTCTCTCTCTCCAGCCGCACCATGCCTCCCTGCCTGCCCGGTCCCATTCAGAGCTAACTTTTCTGCAAGGTGGGAGAGAGTCTAATCTGATCTCGGAGGGCAGTTCAGCACCTCTGCGATTGTTCCCTGTGAATGGAGGCATATCTGGGAGAGTGAACAGCCCGGGGCTTTGTCAACAGGAAGTGGAAGCTGCTCACTCTCCCCCATGAAGCCTGTGATTAGAAATACAAAAAGAAGAGCAGCAGCCTTGAAGCGGGGGGGGGGGGGGGTTGGCACCCAGGTCCCCTCAGTGGCCAGCGGCTTCCCAGGGATGGCGACTCAGGCCCAGGATCAGCAGCTTGCAGACCTGCCTAAAGCCTGTTTGCACTGCTTGGTGCCATCACGAGGACAGCGGCCCCCACACAGGAGGCGCTCCCCCCCCCCAGGGGCCTCAGGAGAGGCGAACTAAAGCAGGGAGGTTCATCCTGCACCACAAAGAAGCCAAACAGCCCGCAGGAAACAGCTTGGGGCACCTTGCTTTTAACCTGCGCAGCAGCTAAGTCACTGGTGTGTTTATCAGCATGCGCAAGTGCTCCAACGCGGATGCTTCCAGCGGACCTCTGTGCCGTCAAAGAGTGCCTCCATTCGCGGATCAGGGCCGGCTGGAACACCCTGAGCCCGTGCCTCTCCGGACCCGCTGCTCAAGGGCTCCGTCAGCACTTTGCCGCAGCCCTGGGCTCAAACCCAGTCTGGGCAGGTTGGAAGGGTAAAACGAGCCCTTGGGCCAGGCTGGGAGGCCAACAGAGCTCCAGGAGGCGGCAGCCACAGCCGGGTCACCCTGAGAGCAGCCCATGCGCTGCACACGGAGGCAGCCGAGCCTGACAGGCGCACATGCACCCAGGATGGTGGCCTGTCCCGATGCGGTCGCGGCTGGACGTTCTGGCCCAGCAAGGCGCCCCTCATACCGGTTCAACCACCCCGAGCAAACTCAAGGCCCATCCCAGGGACCTCACATTTACACACTGGCCTGGTGCTGCTGGTGAGAAGGAATCCCACCCAGGGGCTGGCAGAGTGGGAGCGCCCTCTGGGGCTGTTCTGCACCCAGGACATTCTGCACTCCAGAGCTCCCAGCCCTCCCTTTCCTGCCCCACGGCCGGCTTCGGAGCTCAAGGCTGGCCTCCAGAGCGCACACGCTGCAAAATGCAGAAGCATCCCCCTCACACGGTGCCAGGGGGACAAGAAGGGCTCCCGCAGAGAGAACCCGAAGCAACCCAGGCGTGCCATCACGGGCCGGGTGCCACTGACCTTCCGCCTTCATGTAGTGCACCGAATAAGCAATCACTTTGTCCGAATTATAGAGGGGTCTCTCCCAGGCCAAGAGGATGGCCGAGCTCGACATGGTCTCTGCGTGGACGTTGCAGGGGGCGCTGGGCCGGTCCTCGGACAGAACGACCGTCAGCCGTGCCCTGGACAGGATGGAGCCCTGGCTGTTCTCGGCCATGCACTGGTAGATGGCGTCGTCCTCGGGGATGATCTGGTTGATCACCAGTTTGCTAGGCGGAGAGGGAGGCCGGGGGGTGTTAGGCAGGCAGAACTCGCCCAGGTGCCAGCTCGGCAGACAGGCGGGCAGCCGGCAAGCGAGCCTGGGCAGGGCCGAGGCTGGCTTGGGCTGGGCCGCGCTCCTCAGCCGGGGCAGGCTCACCGTTCTGGGGCGCTCTGGGGCTCCCTCGGGGGCTGCTGGGGCCAGGGCCACCGTCACCCGTGCCCAGCGTGCCCCTTCCTAGGGAGGGCAGGGCTGGCCACGGGGGTCCCGCTTGCATCAGTTCTTCCCAAGAGTCAGGCAAAGGGCCCTTTGGGGCCACCCCGCGGGGCCAGCGCTGCTCCCAGAGCGCAGCCGGCCCAACACGGCACACTCCTCACCTGTTGTACATCTTGATTCTGCCGTTGGAATGGATCTTCCTCCCGTTCTTCAGCCAGGACATCTTGGGAGGTGGGATGCCTTCGGCCTGGCAGGCAAAGCGGGCCGTGCCGGCTCGGGGCCTCGTCAGGCTTTCGGGCCACTCCACAAACGCAGGCGGGGCTGCAGCAGTGGGAGCAAGAGTGGGGGGGGGGGAGTTTGCTGATTGTCTGCTTCCCCCCCCTTTCCCCTTTTTTAGCCCATCATTATTTTAGCCCGTAAAATGTCCTGAATACCTTGATGGAACAGCAGTATTTAAGATCAGCAAGGAAGACGAAATGGCATTTCCGCAGGCCAGCCCTGGGTACAGGGCGTCCCGCCTGCTCTGGAGACGGCTGGGAAAGGGGGCGAGGCGAAGGGGAAACAGCGCAAGACCCGGCCAGGCCGGTTGCTTGGAGAGGCGTCCTGAAGGACACACATTTGCACTGAGATTACAATGACCATTTCATGTCCATTTCATGCTGTCACCACCGGCCTGGAGCATTGGAGCTGGGGCAGGCTTGAAATGTAAATGAAATACATACAGGAAGGGATCGTCGTTTCTGGAGGCAGCCCAGCGAGCCCGTCAGAAAAGGAGCTTGCCCAAGAAGGAAAGCTGAAGCCAACACGAAGCCTCTCCTGAATGCTGGAGGGGACCCTGCCTTGTCGCACCCTGTGGCCCCCCCCCACGTGAAATAAAGCACTCGAGCAATCTTCAAAACCAAAGCCAAAATGAGGAGGGGCCGGAGCCTGACGGGCACCCAGAGGAGCCAGCCCACTGCTGCACTGCCCGGGCGTCTTCCCGGGGAGCCAGGCCTCGTGGCTTCTGCGGTCGCTCACCGAGCACCACCAGAGTCGCCATTGCCGTGGTAAAGTTGCGTGTGCCGGGGATCGTGGCGCGGCAGATGTAGACTCCGGAGTGCAGCACCTTCACGTCGGAGATCATGAGGTTGCCGTTCCCAAGAACCCGGGTGTTGAAGACGTCAATGGACCGGTGGTCTGCCAGAAGAAGTGACTCTGCTTGGAGAAGGCTCAGCAGCTGGCGGGTGGCCCCAGTGCCCCACACGGCCCAGGTTCCCCCTTTTGTCCTGCAATGGCTCAACCCAGGGGCGTGCTCCGGAGTGAGCCTCCCCATTCTGGGGGACAGCCAGGGGAGCACCCAGCCTGACCCCAGGAAGCTGCAGGGCACCCATGCGAGAGGGTCTCGAGCCCCTGCTGATGCACGGACAGGCTGACCCGAAGAGGCACCCCAACCCTGGCGGTGGCTCCACAGCGCACATACTTTCCCGCAAGACATGCGTGGCTGCGACAGTGCCCGGCAGGTGCAGCCTCCACCCATGCCACTGTGCAGGATGGATCCTCAGGTCCTGAGGAGCCCGAGAGGTGGCACGGGGCTTCTGCCCTCAGGGACCTTGCCCAGCCCACAGAGGAAGCACTGTGCTGCTGGCAGGGAACTCCTGGCTGCTGTGGGGGCCCTGGGGACAGCCCGATGCTCAAGGCTGCGGCGCATGGTGCTCCCCAGGACGGAGCAAAGCAGGGAAGCAGACAAACCGTGCCTCCAGGAATCTCTTCTTTTGCTACAAGCCTTCTCCTCCACAGGGATCTGCAGGGTTCCTGGGGCACCACAGCAAAACCACGAGCCCCCCGCCCCGTTCTGCATGCGGTCGGGCTCCGCATGGCACTGGGGACCCCTGCTGTGGCAGCACTGCGGCGGAAGGGTGAATGAGCGGGCACACCGAGCCCCACGGGGTACGTGGGCTGGATACCTTATCGCTCTCCTCTCCTCTTTTCCCTGCCAAACAACAGACAAACTGGAAGTGGGGAACCTGGCCCAGCACCTGCCTTCCAGGACTCACCCAAACGGCTCCACGACACGATGGGCTTCGGATTCCCTGTCGCGATGCACTCGAAGATCACTGTTTGGTGAAGGGAAGCGGTCACGTTCTGAGGCCCTGCTATAATGGATGGCTTGTGGAAAACTGTGGCACCGGAGGCTTGAAACGGAAACAAATGGCAAGGAGTTAAGTGGAAATGTGCTGCGCACTCCCCAAGGCTGGGATCAGGCCCAAGGCACGAAAGAGGAGACGCTGCGCAAACCCCTGGGTGGTTTTTGCTTAAGCCAAATCCAGCGCCTTAGCGCCGGCGTTTGCCCACCTTGTGACAGAAAGCGCGAGAAACAACGTATTCTCCAGATACCTGGGATGACCGTGAGGGCGGCCTCAGCGCTTTTGCGCCTGTTGGCTGCTGTTGTGGCGACACAGCGGTAATTCCCAGCGTCCTTCTGCTGAACGCCGTAGATCTGCAGCACTCCCGACGGTAACGCTGTTATCCTGGGGGGGGGCGGGGAGAGAGCAGCTCTGCGTCGGTCACCAGGCACAGGCAGCCCGCGGCCGAAGCATGCAAAAGCTCAGGGTTTGGGTTTAATCCGTCCGGCCCCCGTTTCGGGCTGCTCAGTTTGGTGCCCATCCCCACGTCTCACGGCAGTGCAGGAGCCCTCCTTTCATCTCTCCCGGATCTCCCGGCAATCAGCCCCCTGGGATGGCCCTGCTGGGTTCCACTCTTATGAGAGAGGAGCAAAATGATCCCAGGTCCACTTCCCTCGCCCCAGGCAGGACTGCACACACCTCTGCCGTGTCTCCTCGCCCGCCTCCCTCAACAGCCCGTCCCTCCACCCCCGAATCCTTCCACTTGCCCTCTCCTGCCCTTTGCTGAACTCCAGGAACGTCTCGTCTTAGGTGCAGTGGCCAGAGCTGTGCACAGTGCGCGAAGCTTTGGACAAAGAGAGTGTGGCTGCGCAAGGAAGCCCTTGGGGCCGACGGATCTGAGAGTGCTGGGTGCAGAGGAGGGAGCGCAGGCCCTGGAGGGCCGGGGTCCGGTTCCTGCTCGGTCCTGGAGCTCCCTAGGCGAGCTCAGGTTGCTTTCTCTCAGCCTGCTCTCCCTCGCAGGGCGTAGATAAAATGAGATGGCTCATTACATGCTGCTCTAAACCATTCTGAATAATGGTAAGATCCAGGTAAAAGAAGAAGATGGAGAATGAAAGCTCCGTACCTGTCCATGGCTATTGGCAGAGTCGTCCGATTCACCTCCCAGGTGATGATAGCGGGAGGGTTGGAATCAATCTTGCAGGCAAACCGGGCCACGCTTCCGTCCTCGACCTCAGCGGGAAGAGGCTGAACTTCAAATGCAGACATGGCTAAAAGACGGAGTGAAAGTTGGCAGTTTGAGATGCAACGGAGAGAGCAGCCAAAACAAATGCATTGTTGCACAAAAGGGAAAAGAAAAACAACAACAACAACAGTGTTTTTGGAAGACACAGCTTTCTAAAAGCAGGAGAGTCATTTAGATGCCAGCTGAATACAATAATTACCAACATCACACGATGCATCCTTGAGATTTAATTGGACTTCAACAAAGCCACGAGGCTCTCTGGCAGGGCACGTCAAGCACAAGCCCCTCAAGGCGCACCCCGACCCACTGCACCCTCGCCCCAGGGGGCCTGCGCCCAGATGGCTCAGCCCTCCATGCCCTGCCAGGCTGAGGCCAGTAGAGGTGCTCCTGGCTCCCATCCTTCAATCGCCTGAGCTTTCATGGGGGTGGGGGTCACATCCACGAGTGGCCAATCCTACTGGGGCAGAGCTGCTCCTGCAGCTGACATGCCGGAGCTATGGCACCCTTTCCTACAGTGAAGGAAATCTAAGCTGATCAAAGAGGTCTTGCACAAGTAAGCAATCATTTGCATTGGCTTACGAGCGAGGCGGGCATGCCTCTTTAGGAATGAAAACTACTTGTATTGAAAACGTTGGACAACTCATGAGACTCAATCCAGCACATTTCCACTGTGAAAAAGGACAGAGAACGCCACCAAAAGTCCCAGGCCTCATGGGGATGCTGAGAAGCGCTGCACAGGTGAGGTGCAGGTGAGGCTGGCGGCTTGGAGGCCTCTGCTCCAAGAGCCGTCAGCACTTGGGGAGAATTGGGAAGCCAACTGCAAAAGCACAAGTGGCCAGCAGATCAGCTTTGGCTCCAGTAGGTTGGTGCCTTGACAAGTTTGTGCGGAAAGACAGACAGACTCTCTCTCTCCCGGGGAAAGAGCCCAACCTATGGCATTGGTGGAGTCATCCCAAACGCTGCTGTTTGCCTCCACTCCTGGAAGCCTTATCCACACCATTACACTCCATATCGATAAGCTCAAATACCGCTGCTGATAAGCCGCTGCTGATAAGCACAAGGTCATGCAGCACATGAAACAAGTTCTCAGGGCAGAGGCACAGAACAGCGCGCGCAGCCGACAACCAAGGAATGTCTTGCAGTCCAGTTCACCAGCCCTGCGACTGCAGGGAATGGCTACAAAGGATCTGAAAGGGAAAGCCAAGGGGGGCCCATCTCCCTCCAGAGCGCAAAATGGGAGGTTTACGCAAAGCTGCAGTAACAGAAGCTCTGCTGTAATGTAAACTGCCAGTCAGGACGGGACCACCCATCGCAAAAAGTCACGAGCACCAAGGAGCAGCATCAAGGAAGCAATGCGAGAAATAAGGGCTCCTTCAGGAAATGAAGGTGTTGCCCAAGTGAGAAGAACAAAACAGAGCAAAGCTGCGCACAGAGCAAACGCGAGCAGACGAGAGAAACGGTTTGAAGAAAAGCAGAACAACTAACCAATCATAGAAGAAGCAAGCGAACGAACAAGGCTAGGAAGGCAGCCAACTGCATAAAAAGGACCCCTGGATAAAAAGGGGGTTGGAAGAGTACTAGAGGAGGATAGGATTTCCAATAAGTTGAATTAATTCACAGCAGATAAAGCCAGATGCGGGGCAGATATCTATACCTGAAGGGAGTTTGAGGAAATGAGTCAAATGGGGGTGGCAAGAGAGGGAATTCTTTACTCTACTGAGAAGCAAACAAACCATTCAGTTGAGTAGGTATCTTAAAAGAACCAACATAAAATTGCTGCTCTCCTAATAAAATGTCACGTTTCTAGGAGTTGCCAAGATAACCCAAGTTTTTTAAAAAGGTTCAGGTGGAAACCAGAACATTACAGGCTGGTTAACATAATTTCAAGACTGAATGGAACGAAGTATGGTTAAAGACAAAAAAATATCAAGCATATGGAAAGACACAACCTAATGAAAATAATCAATAATCAAAGACACAACCTAATGAAAATAATCAATACGGCTTCTGCAAAAGTAAGTCTCATCCTGTTGAACATTTTGAGATAGGGCTCCTATGAAAAAGTTAAATTTCATGTTGGGAATCATTAGGAAAAGCGGGGGAACTGCCGTATTGTAACACCTCTATACAAATCGAGGAGCGATCAGGCTCAGAGCCCAGCGTGTCGTTCCTTTCCATGTGCCGCAGAAAGGGTCCTGCACAGCCGAGTCAAGCGCAGAAAGGAAGGGGTGACCCACAGGACCCAGGGGTTGGAGCACCGCCCCCCTGAGGAAAGGCTGCGACATCTGGGGTGGTTTCGCAAGTAAGGGAAGACCCTGCAGAGGTGGGCAAAACTCTGCGTGGGGTGGAACAAGTGAATGCTACTGGAGCCCCCAAAGCCCCTCCACGAGATGGCGGGAGAGTCAGGCCAGATCACAGGTGGTCTTTCTTCAGAGAGCAGGGCCTTTTCTGTGGCGGCATCCCAGTTATGGACCCCCCCTCCCCACAAAAACCAGATTGACCCCATCTTGGGCTACAAACAGTTTGGTTTGGCTGATTTTGGGGGTGTTAAGCAGAACATTTTGAGGGTGGCCTGTGCTGCTCCTAATTTGCCTGTTTTGCTATGAGGTTTTGTTTTCTCACCTTGGGGAGCCCTTTTGAGCAGAAAGGGCTTCTGGAAATGTTTCAGTGCATAAAGAGATAAACAGGGGCAGGCCTGGTTAGAATCTGGATTGGAGATGGCCTTCCAGGACCCTTCCAAATGCATGAATCCGGGATAAGACATACATGCACTAAACGCAAGGAACGCCGTGGGGGCTGCGGAGAGCCTCCGCTCCCTGGACGGAGGAGAGCAGGGCAGGCTGCAGAACGCCTGGGGTCTGGTCCCTTCTGGGCAAGGAGTGGGCATGGGAGCGGGGCGAGATTCATGCCTCTGCCCCCTGCTCATGTGTGTACCTTCTTTCTCTTTTGTTTCTCAGGAAGATTCCCCCGAGAGGGTGCTTCGGAGCTGCTTTAATCAATCACCAGGGCTACTGTAACGAAAATATGGTGAGTGATCGTGTTGCTATTGCGGAGGGTTAATATGTTTTCCTTTCCCCTCTGGAGTCCTGTTTACATCTGGGTTCATTCAGAAATAAAACACACGCCGTGTTTTGAAATCAATCCCTTGTGGGCCATGGCCTGGAGAAGGGGGACTCCGCGCAGCTCAGCGTGTCCGGCCCAGGTCCAAGCCGCAGCCCTTGGAGGGCGTGAGAAGTGCAAGAACGGAAAGCAGCAGCAGCTCCAGCCGGTGTCCCCATGGCCCCTGCCCCCATTACAAAGGTACTTTACCACAAGGTATGTGCCTGTATAAAAGGGACCCACAAAGAGCCTGTATATCAGCGAAAAAGGTGTGCCTGATCCATCAGGCAACACGTTTGTAAAAAGTGCATTTTAATTTTTGAAAACATTTTCAGAACTGCTGGTGGCAAGCCATGCCTCCAAAGAAGAGCGCTCCATTGGCTCTTACTCAGGAGGAGCGAAGGCGACTCAAAGCATTTCTGGGCCAGGCAAGCAGCCCTCGAGGCATCCAGCCGTCCGAATCGGCAACGGGACCCGGCATCACGCACTCTAGCACAGGTGAGTGCTGCCGGGAGCGAAAGCGTGCTTCCCTGCGTGGGGCTCGTGCCCCGGCTTCCTGGGGGAGACGAGCGGCCAGCATGCAACACTGAGCAAGCCGCAGACAGAGGCCGAGATTCCACGAACCTGAAGCAGTCGGGCAACCTCTGGACACAGTGAGCCTCCCTGCGAGGGAAGACGCAGGCTCTCCGCCTTGCCCGGAGCGAGAGGCGTGCAAGCAAAGCAGCAGCTGATTCCGGAGCACCTTGCCAGGGATCCAGGGAGGGGACCTGGCGGTCCTCCCCGCCTTCCGAAGGCATCCCTTTACCAGGAAGAACTCTGAGAGGTGTGGCAAGCGCAGGTCCCTTTTTGTGAGAATGGTGCCAATCACAGCCAGAGCTGCGCGCTCTCCAGTCACCCTGGAACCACGTGAGCTCTGTGCCCATCAGGCACGCGTCCCCTTGGCACGTGGGGGGGGGGGCAAGGGGCCTCTGCAATGCTGCGCCAGGCGAGAGGCCGGGGGCTCAAGCCCCTCTGCTTGCGGGCAGGGAAAGCACCGTGGTGGCTGCCTGAGCCGTCCAGCAGCCCCCACAGGCCGTGTGGTGGTGCAAGGGGGGCCTCTCCCCCACATCAGCAGAGCATTTCAAGGCAGGGAGGGCAGGGGGCTCCCATCCCCGAGGCGTCCCGGCCATCAGCACTGCCAGTTCCCAAATGCAAGGCGGGCAGTGCCCACCCACCAGGCTGCTCCTAGTTGGTCACGCGGGTGCCGGTCCGGGCACCGTGCGATCGCGATCAAAGCAGGGCTGCCTCACCTCCAGCGCGGTGTTTTCCTTGAGCTGCGAAAGGGCATAAATCTGCCTTGCGCAGAGAGACAATTCCACAAAGCTTTCATCAATAAATGGCTGGGGGGGGGGGCTCCAGATGCAATAAAGGGAGAGGGTCCCAGCCATCTGTCCCTCCTGCTCGGCTCAGTTCGTCACCTTTGCCCTGGCCGAGTCTCCGCAGGGCCGCCAAGCGCCAGGGCAGGGGTGCGACACGAGGGCAGCCCCGTCTCCCAGAATCACGGCGGCACTGATGCGGAAGGGCGCCCGACTTCGCCCTGGCACGCCGGCTGCCTTCGCCAGAGCCCAGTGGAGATGGGAAGGAGGGCAAGAGCAGGCGTGGCCAGCACCCCGAGGGGCTCAGCTCCTGCCCCAGCCCCGGGTGAGCAGGAAGCTGGAGGAGGCGGCTGCCCCATCCGGCCCCTCCCAGAGGGACTGCGCAGGAAGGGTGGCTCGCACGTCCTGCTCCAGCGGCAAGTCGCGAGCCCACGCGTGGCACTGCCGCAGAGACACACAGCCGCCGCCCGCGGAAGCTCTCCCAGACACCGCGAGGCAGCGAGGGGCACGTGCCTCGCGCACAGCAGAGCTCCTCTCCACTTCCTTTGCAAGACCTCTGACAGCTCATATT